CCGTTGAGATTCTTAAAAAGTAAATCGGAAAATTTGAGGAAAATGATTTCAGTGTTTCTTACACCTAGAGAGTTTATACAGACCGAAGGATTCAACCCTAATTAGGGGTGAACTAATCCATGGAATAATGCTCCGTTCTGATCACTCTTTTACCGTGGACAAAATTGTACAGTAGGGTTCATGAGCAGTTACAAGGTTCTGGACTTTTTGGAGGCAGAAATATACCCTCAAGCGTTTGAACATAAGCTGTAGCGAACAATGGTTTAAACAGGTTTCTGCATGCTTCACATTCAGCGCTGTTGTGCAACATCTTATGCCTGGCCTAAAATTTGAATTGCTGAACTCCATTTCATACATCTTGAAGGTAAGTTGTCTGATATATAATTAAATGTCATTTCTAATGCAGGTTGTGCAGTTGTTCTCATGTTTGGATAAGATAAGCTACATCGAATGGGCACTTGATTCTGAATACATTCTTTGTGGTCTATATAAAAGACCAATGATACAAGCATGGTCGCTGGCCCAACCTGAATGGACATGTAAGATAGATGAAGGTCCTGCCGGTATTGCCTATGCTAGGTGGAGCCCAGATAGCCGTCACATACTTACCACATCAGACTTCCAACTGCGGTTAACAGTTTGGTCACTGTTAAACACAGCATGTGTACATGTGCAATGGCCAAAGCATCCTTCCAAGGGAGTTTCGTTCACCAAAGATGGGCAATTTGCTGCAATTTGCACAAGGCGTGATTGCAAGGACTATATTAATCTTCTGTCCTGTCATACATGGGAAATAATGGGTGTATTTGCTGTGGACACTTTGGACTTGGCTGATACTGAATGGTCACCAGATGACAGTGCAATAGTGATATGGGATTCACCTCTCGAATATAAGGTGAGAACTTCGGTTTTTTTTCTTTGTTATGGCAAAAAGATTTGCAGTAGTTATATAACGTTTTAGTTTGAAGCATCTCATGGTGCATTTTGATGCAGGTTCTGATATACTCCCCAGATGGTAGGTGTCTGTATAAGTATCAAGCATACGAAAGTGCTTTGGGTGTAAAAAGTGTTTCATGGTCTCCATGTGGCCAGTTTCTAGCAGTGGGTAGTTATGACCAGATGTTGCGGGTTTTAAATCACTTGACTTGGAAGACTTTTGCTGAATTTATGCATCTATCTACTGTCCGTGCTCCCTGTTGTGCGGCTGTGTTTAAGGTTATTGATTGTTAATATTAGAGATAGCGAGATATCATGTTCTTTTAGTGTGTTGGATGATTGCTCACCCCATAATGTCTAAATGTCAGGAAGTAGATGAGCCACTGCTACTTGATATGTCCGAGCTAAGTCTAAATGATGATTTTGCAGAAGGCAATAATGGTAAGCATGATGTTTCCATGTTGATACAGTTATTTTTTAACTTATAAAAGGTGCTCAGAGTACGAAAATAATATGCCGTATCATTTGTATGCTAGGTCAGATTTCTTTTCCTGTTGTTGGTATGTGTTTGTATCTACTAGATTTCATTTCTGCCTTTTGAACCGACTTGTATTCAAAGCTCACAGAATAACTTATTCTTTCATTCACCTTTTAACCTGTTGATGGATGACAGTAAAATTTTAATAACGTAAGATCAATATAAGCTTCGATGAATAATTTTATTCTAAGAAAATAAGGTAACAGCGCTACATCCTTAAATTTTACTCTTGCAAAGCAAAACTCAAAGAGTAGCTTGCCATTGCATCACATTGGCCATCTTTTGCATGATACATAAATTACGCCTTTTGGCCGGAGAATCACAAATCCTTCTGTTAATATTCAAAACTTATTTGATTTGATCCCCTTTTCTTTTTCCCCCATAATTTTTGTTTCATTTCAAGTAGATGCTTCGGAAGGACAAGTCAGAGTTAGATATGAGGTTACAGAAGTGCCCATCAGTTTGCCTTTCCAGAAGCCTCCTGCAGACAAACCTAACCCCAAACAAGGAATTGGTAAGCCCTTTCTCCCTCTTGTACTGTCTGATGCAAATGAAAACAAAGTTTGTAAACAGTCAACTATGAAGACAATCAAACTGGTTTATGTTTTAGCTACTTTACATCAGACAAGAGAAGATGCACTTAGACGGCTGAGGGTTCATAAATACATAGGCCTAGCCATCAGATAACATTCAATGTCCTCAACAAAGGCATCAAATGGTTGAGTCAATTCATACTTCTGGACAAATCCTGCAAGTTGAGGAACTTGAAGTTGTGGTAACTAGTCTGTCGATATTGGAGTCAAATATTGACTATATGGGATATTCCCACTCCCCTTGAATAATATAGAAACCTCACTAGCGGAAAGCGGTGTCAGCTTCCTTTATTCGTTGACTTTGCGTAAGAATAGTTTCATTCATTGAAATATTTTAACGGATTGGAGGATAGATGATCTTGATGTGGAAGGTACTATCAGCCTTGTAGGTAGCAAACTTATTCCAATGATGAACAGGGTTTCGTTTTTATACTTGTACGCAGGAATGCAAAGTTTAGATGCACTTTCAACGTATTAGTGAGGGATTTTGCTTGAATAATGGTCGTGGTATCCCTTAGATGCTACCTCGAAATTGTTCAAGAGTTCATCGTATGAAAATATGGCTAAAGCTATAGGTTTTGCTGTAGGTCTAATGTCATGGAGCAACGATAGCCAATATATTTGTACTCGCAACGATAGCATGCCAAGCATTCTCTGGATATGGGACATACGCCATCTTGAACTCGCTGCTATCTTGGTGCAGAAAGATCCTATTCGTGCAGCAGTTTGGGATCCTACGTGCACTCGTCTTGTTGTTTGCACGGGAAGTTCTCATCTGTACATGTGGACTCCTGGTGGTGCCTACTGTGTGAGCATCCCTCCGCAACCACAGTTTAGCATAGTTGATCTGAAATGGAATTCGGATGGAAGCTGTCTTCTCCTGAAGGATAAAGAGTTGTTTTGCTGCGCTGCTGTCGCCGTTCTTCCTGAAGAATCGAGTGAATATAGCTCGGATGATTGAGTCAGGTTTGCTTTTCTCAATGTTTAACATGCTCTCTCTGTGTAATATGTTTATGTAGTAGTTGGAACATCAACAGTCTGACTATAACGGTGGCGTTTCCCTCTCCCATTTGTTTCTCATTTCTCTGGTTTAGCATTAGTGCTCATGGAAATTGACTGACTTACTAAACCCACATGACCAATTTCTTTCGTACAACCTAGAACTTACCTATAACTGGGATGCCCACTGTGACACTCTGCTAAATCAATTAAACGCCGCTTTGTATTTTAAATTTTCTATGTGACAAATACTCAATTGGTTTGGAATGCTGTCATAACTTGCGTCCCAGTTATCGTTAGTGCTCATAGGAAATTGACTTGACTTTGAGAACCTGCACGGTGAATTTCCAAATAGTATCTTTGTAGATTTAGTAAAACATTGATATGTGTTTCAACTTTTAAAACATAAGATAAATTAGTTTAGAATACATTCACAATAACTTGTGACGTAATTAAATTTCATTCTGTTTTTCGTGGACTAATGCTACAATGGATGGCATCATATATGAGATAAGTCCATACACGCGGCGTCAAGGTATTTGGTTGATCATTGATTAATAATTATGATAATACAGCCATTACAGATACAGGTCACCATAGGCAAATGGTGAACAACTCATACTGCATGTCGTTTTCCTAGTTAGTTGGAGGAGGAGGAGGATAAGTGGATAGTGCTGCACGCTGGAATATCACGTTTGTATAAAAATTTGGGATCTGAAAATCCAAAGTGGACCAAATTGTAGATTCAAGCAAGGTCCAAACTATTGCCCTGTCTGCCTAGTTAAGTTGGCTCCCTTACCTGTCATATACGATCTATCCACAAGAGAAAACTTTGGAAACGAATCATTCGTAAGATATTTTTCATTAAAGTATAAGATTCTTTATGTTTTAATTCCACCAAACCTACACAGATTGAATTTGTTCATGACCTTCAAGTGATAATATGTTTATTATTTATCTATCATTGTTGATGAGTTTAAATTTTGAGATAAGCATAAAAGATGGATAAAATTTTAAAATTTAAACTTATCTATTAATAATAAGTAGGTCGGCCAAAACCACCACCATTTAAATGTGATGTGCAAAACTTAATCTTGTCGATAGTTGCCTATTTACAATCAACCCTTGGAAAAAAATTTAATTGTGACGGGAATGTAAGTGGTACATCACGTGTTTTAATACAAGTGATGAGATATTTTATTTTTTAAGTTATTAATTTTTTTAGTACATATATCTAATCATTTGTATAATAACACGTAATATATCATTCTATATACCAGTTATAAATCTCTCTACTAGACGCCTTCCCAAAATCCCCCAACTTGGGAAGCGCCAAATCTTACATCACCCGCGTGCCGACCCGACCCCCTTTATTTCCCTCGCGCTACAACGCGTTAACGAATCTTAACGAAATCATATGATTATGTAATCAACTACTATTATGATGTCATGCAACAATTCTCATCCACTAAAATAAAATTTGGTTTTATATTTTATTTCTCGGAAATTAAGAACAAATATTATTAAGCTTAATGAAATGAAGAAAGTTGGAATTATATTATAAAATCAAGTAGTATATGACAAGTAGGAATTATATTACAAAATCAAGTAGTATATGACAAGTAGTTTAAGAGTTTGTTTGAATGTCCTATTGAAAATGACTAAAAGCGTTTTTAGTGAAATTAATTTTGAATTCTAAAGTGCTCACTTCCAGGAAATAGGAAGTACTTAAAATGCTTTTTTCAGGATTTATTTGAATTTTTACTAAGATTGATTTCAAAAAATATTTCTACCAAAAACGTTTTCAGTTATTTTAAAAGGTTATCCAAAGCAGCCATAAACCCATGAATATGTCAATTCACAAACTTACTTTAGAATCTGCAACATTTACCTTTCTAGTACAAAAAATATAATATATATATATATGTTCTTCCGACGTCCCACAACATAAAAGCTCTCCTCCTTTTCTTTTTCCTCACCCTCTCTCCAATCCCCCCAATCGCTTCCGATTTTCTGCTTCCGGCCACCGTTCTTCTCAGTCAATGCCCATAGCCGAACGGCGGTCAGTAGCAGCTATGGAAAACGGCGTCGTAGAGAACGGAGTCTGCTCCATGGAGTCGGCTAACGGGAGTCTAGACGTCTGGAGCTCGAAGGAGTCAGAATCTTCCTCCGCTGATCATCTTGTCGTCATGGTCCATGGAATTATGGGAACGTACGACCTTTCAATTTCATATTTTAATCTTTTTTCTTGGAAGAAAATTATATAATCACGATTTGATTTAGCCGCACTCTGAATTTTCATGATTTATCGAGAGATTGAGACGGCTTGGTGGTGATTTTGCTTATTGCGATAGATAATTTTGAATTTCTAGTGATTTTATTGACAAATTATATTGTTTTGATGATAAATTTGATTTTTTTTAGTTAAATTGGTAGTTCTAAATCTGTATTAGTCGTACCAAGACTTCATTTTTGGTATACAATTTTGATTTTTTTTATTTACCATGCGAATGTACGCTTGCTGATTGGGTAAATATTACAGTTTGATGTTTGGCGAATCGGAAAGTATCTGCTTTGGTTGTGTGTACGTTAAAGTAGATTTTGAGCATGACCTCCTTCATTTTGTGTGTTTGAGTATTTGAACCGTTCTGTTTTGTACAATGTTGATATCGTTTTTGCATTTGCTCGTGCAGTGCCGCGGATTGGAAGTTTGGGGCGGAGCAATTTGTTAAAACACTTCCAGATAAAGTTATTGTTCATTGTAAGGAACATCCTTTTGTGAGATCACCCTGCTGATTTACTTTTCTAGTCTAAGTTTGGATCCCTGCTTGCATTAGCGGTGCTTCTTTGTTTTTCGCTGTTTACATGTCCAACGTTCGAGCTTTTTGGATCCTGATGCCCTTGCTGCTTGTTTCTTATATTTTTAGCTCTTTTAACTTTTAAGACAATTTTAAAAAGTGAAATTACTGCAATGTTGATGTTCTTAACTTCTAAGTAATCGATTGCAGTTGATAGTGTTTGTAGAAAATATAATGTTTGTCCAATCTAATTAATTTGGTTGAAATTCGGCTGCAGGTAGTGAACGGAATGTCTCTAGGTTGACTCTAGATGGTGTGGATGTAATGGGGGAGCGATTGGCTGAGGAGGTTGGTTTCTACCTGATGTATTTATATATAGTGGAATTTATTGGATCTATTTTCATTTCTGAAAAGATGCATCCACTTCAGTTCTGTACCGTTGTTAACCAAGTTCATTAATTTTAGGTTATTGAACTGACTCAAAAAAAGCCTAATCTATGTAAGATCTCGTTTATTGGACATTCTGTCGGAGGATTAGTGGCAAGATATGCAATTGGGAGGCTGTATAGACCCCCTAAAAGTGACAATATGGAGCATTCATCTCCTAATGGACGTGAAGAGGATGCAAGGAGTACATTAGCTGGCTTGGAGCCTATGAACTTTATTACTGTTGCTACACCTCATCTTGGATCAAGGGGTAACAAGCAGGTAATACAATTGCCCTTAACACTTGCTCATTCAGAATGTACTGGAATTCCTAGAATTTTTGTAACATCTCAAGTTTGATCACATTCTTGGCTTGTATTGGTTTGTCTGATTCTGTTTTATGTAGTGAAAAACTTAGTTAAGGTAGGATGCAGGAGAGATAGATGTTAGGTTGATCTTATGTTGTTTTCTTCGGTAGTAACCCAGTTGGTATATGCACTTGCCACTTTTCACTTATGAATTAATTCACCTTGTGTAGGTACCATTCCTTTTTGGTGTTCCTGCCTTTGAAAAACTTGCTAGTGCAGTTATTCATTTGATATTTAGGAGGACAGGTCGGCATCTTTTTCTTAATGATGACGACGATGGGAAGCCTCCACTGCTTAAACGCATGATAGAAGATTGTGATGGTTGTTATTTCATGTATGTTACTTGCATCCATATTCCAAACATTAATTTGAGATCCGAAGTTTCTTGAGATTTCATGTATATAGAATGACACTTGTCTTTTGTTTGACAGGTCTGCATTGCGTAGTTTTAAGCGAAGGGTGGTGTATTCAAATGTGGGCTATGACCGTATCCTATTTTCTACAATCTATATATATACTTTCCATTTTTCGATGTCTTATTCACTTTTTTGTTTTCAATAATTAATGCTATAAAGATATTGTCGGCTGGAAAACATCATGTATCAGACGTAATAGTGAACTTCCAAAGGTATTGCCATCTGCATGGTTTTGTAATTGTAATTTTAAGGTCAGGTTTTCTGATTTTCGCTTAAAATTTTGAGTTTTCTGCTTATCAGTGGGAAAATACTATTGACGAAAAATATCCATATTGTTTATGAAGAACACTGCAAGGCCTATGACGCTGAGCAGTGTGAGCCTACTTCAGCGGAGGATGGTGGCTCTGACGAGCTTGAAGGTTAACAACTCAGTTCTCTTTTGTTTCCAACTTTCAATAGTATACTAATTATTGAATTCTATGTAATTGAAGTCGTTGTCTATTCTTGTTGCTCTTCTGCTTGTGTTACTTCGCTAATTTGCTTATATTTTATTAATAATTTTCATTGCTCTTGTATCTGTTTGCGTCTGTGTGCTCCCTGCCTTTTACTTTCATTTGTTGTATCATAGTGAGGTGCGTATATCGGTTGTTCCTAAATAATTTCTTTCTTAACACCTTTGTTTTGTGCAGAGGAATTATTGAAAGGCCTATCTTGCGTGTCCTGGGAAAAAGTAGATGTTAGTTTCCACAGCAGCAGAACAGATTTGCTGCTCATAGTGTCATTCAGGTCTCTTTCTCTCTCCCCCTCTCCCACACGCACACTCACATACCCGAATGCTCACGCCTTACGCTAAAGAAACAAATTTGCACTCTGAACATTTTACAGGTCAAAAATAAAAGTGTACATATAGAAGGTGAAGATGTCATACGCCATATAATGGATCATTTCCTCAAGTAAAACCTAACGACAGCTAGAAGAATTGTCATCGCGACGTGGTCCTGACTGCGGTTCTTTCAGTAATGCTACGCGGAGTGGAGATAAATCCACGATTATCTGCACCGTTGAATTGTATCTCAATTACCGGCCGAAAGAAGAATGTATCTGTATTTTGTTGGTGCGTTGCAGCTTGTGGCCGAAGGCAATCGGTTATTAGACCGAAAAGCTGTGCACGAAATGTGTTCAATTCAAGCAAGCTATGTGATAGAAATTTTGTTTACTCGTTATGGTACGGGATGATATGTATGTATATGAACCAGATCTTCATTACAAATGCAAACATTTCCACGTGTTTATCTACTACCATGTCCTCACTACTTTTTCTTTCCAATTATAGAGGGGGAAATTGAACGTAGGATTTCGGACAAAGACTCCGAGAGGTGAATGTTCTTAACCAGTTCCACGAGCCCCTTGTGAGTCTGACTAGCTAAGTCCATATGCATCTTCAGTGTATTCTTTACACTACACGGTGTCTTCAGTCCGCTAAAATATAACACGTCTATCTATTGATTAATAATATGAAAATGTTATAGAAATAGTGGGTGAATGCCCACTCAAAAGAATTCCCAAAGACTTAGTAATAGTGTTTGGTACTTTCAAAAGTATCATCATTGTATTTTGATGGTTGTAGTCATGAGAGTCGCTCTATAAATAGAGCATTCCGTCTGTTATCAAATGCACTACGAAAGAAAGCAAGAGAAATAATATCAGTATCCTCCCTCTCTTTATCTGCCATCATTTTTTTGTGTTATAGCTACTAAAGTCATAGTGTGATATTTTGCACCTGCTTCGTTCTTGTCTTTAAAAAGATTATCTTACTAACTTTTGTCTATTTATAACAGAAAACAGTTTTTCCATAATGCTAATGGCGGGGATATAAATATTCATGAATTTATTTCTAAATATATCATATGTTTATGAATATTAATTTCTTTTGCCCAATCGTATTTTGACACATGGCTAGCAACACGACACGACGGTCAGTGTTGCGCATAATTTTTTTTCAATCGATGCCCAATAGTGTGGGAAAGGAATTCTCTCCCGATCATTTTCTTCTAATCCACAACATCAGGAGATTTGTATCATTGAAATTTAATTTAACGGTTGAAGTTATTATAATTTTAAAAATAGATCTTTGTTTTTAGCCATTAGATCAAATTTTAATAGCATAGATTCTCTGATTTGGTGGATTAGGAGTAAGAGATTTAAAGAGAATCTCTTTCCAATATAATGGCAGTTCTGTGAATAATGTGAACACCAGGGGTTTCTTCGTAAATCAGCTACGTGACCTCTTCCTTAACTTTGACCTAACACGTGTCGTGTCGTGTCGTAGTCAAACACCATTAACGACCATGTTAGTTTCGGTTAGCCATTACCGCCCCCACTTAACGGAATCAAACGCAGCTGACCCAAAACGCAGCTCCTCCCCAACTTCCGCCATTGACACCCTCTCTCTTTCTGCAAATTTTCAAAAGCTGTGAAATCGGAGGCTGCAAATTCCAATGGAATCCACCATTTCATCGCCTATCTCCTCCACCAAGTCCTCGCCCCTGTTGCATTCGGCTTCCCATTCACTCGGCTCCAGATCCCAGTCTTTTCCGTCGCTTCCGTTGGTTCAAACCCTCCGCTATCCCAGCTTCAAATCCAGAAGCTTCCTCGGATTTCCGTTCCGTTCGCGCCAAAACCAGCCTATCCGATCTCAGAGCCCGAATCATCAGCCGGCTAACGACGGCTTCGTCCTCGAAGACGTTCCTCACTTGACTAATTTTCTCCCTAATTTGCCGGTAATTTATCTAATTAGTAATTAATCAGCGTTAAAAAAAATTTAAGCAATTTGTGTTTGATTTTTTTGAATATTTGTTTTTTTCCTGTTTTTGCAGTCATATCCAAATCCATTGAAACAGAGCCAAGCTTATGCAGTTGTCAAGTAAGTTTTGCTTACGTCAATATTGCAAATTCTACCAATTTCATGTTGAAAATTTAAATTTTCGGTAATTATATTTATTCAGATAATCTGTTTATGTTGGTAGGCAAACTTTTGTGAGCCCTGACGATGTGGTTGCGCAGAAAGTGAGTGTTTTTTGTAAAATCTAAATGCCAAGTTTTCAATTTTGTTGTTTTTGTCTTCGTTTTTTGCTGCTTTTGAATAATTGCATTGTGCAATGGCTCTAGGTTGTTGTCCAAAAGGAAGGTCCTAGAGGGGTGCATTTCCGACGTGCAGGACCCCGGGAAAAGGTGCATTTTTTTCATCCAAACCACCATATGCTTAGGGAAAATGAAACTGTTGTACCATGATATTTCTTTCTATCGGAAAATGTGACGTGAGGCTTCTAATATTAGGTTTATTTCAAGTCGGATGAAGTTCGTGCTTGCATAGTCACTTGTGGGGGTTTATGCCCAGGGATCAATACTGTGATTCGGGAAATAGTATGCGGCTTGAACTACATGTATGGTGTTGAAGATATACTTGGAATTGAGGTAAGTTCACTTCACAATGTTTCTAGCTCTGCAACACTTGTAGTGAATGGCTGCTAAAAAGTTCTATTTCAAGATTTTGGAACTTTTAAGAATGTTATTGATTCAAGAAATGTAAACTTGCTGATGTTGAAAACTTTCAGGGAGGATATAGGGGATTTTATTCTAAAAATACATTGAGGTTGACACCAAAAGTTGTCAATGATATCCATAAGCGTGGTGGCACCTTTCTTCGAACTTCACGAGGTGGCCATGATACGAACAAGATAGTTGATAACATACAGGACCGAGGAATAAATCAGGTGAATATATTATATATGCTCGCATTTCCTGCATGTTTGTGTTGGGTTGTGTTAACCCCAATGAAAAATGTTGAACTAGATGAGTGGAAGTTGATAATATGATTTCTAGGTATACATAATTGGAGGCGATGGCACTCAAAGAGGAGCGGATCTTATATACAAGGTGAACATATTCTCTCTAAGATTAATCCATTTCCTTGTCGCATCATATTGACGTTATCATATTTTGTCAAGGAAGTTGAGAAACGTGGTCTTCAAGTGGCAGTTGCTGGGATCCCTAAGACAATTGATAATGATATTGCTGTAAGTTCTATCGTTCATGAATGATTTGCATTTATTGGTATCATTATCCTGTTAACTTCTGCAAGATGCAATAAAATTTTGATGCCAGTTTTCAATTTGGAAAGTTCACAAGCTCAATACGAGTACACTAAAATTCATGAGCAACATATTTTTTGTCCACATATGATGAAGAACTGTATTTAATCTGGATGACATGCTGTTGAATTCTAGAGTCAACATTCAGAAAGTTCCACCAAAATCTTAAATGGAAAGGGCATAAAAGAAAGTTTGTTTTCCCTTTTCTCATTTATTATGCAATTTGGTTTTGTACTTCGAAAATTTTTCTTCTTTCGGTTTAGGATGTTGTGCTTTGATCAAGTGGATCATTAATCTACCTGTATGATTTTTGAAATTTGGCTTTAGGTGATAGACAAATCTTTTGGTTTTGATACTGCTGTTGAAGAAGCACAGAGAGCTATTAACGCTGCACATGTGGAGGTTGAAAGTGTGGAAAATGGAGTTGGAATTGTCAAACTCATGGGCAGATACAGTGGTATGTGTCTTAAATGAAAGAACAAATGACATACTTTCATTTTTCACCTTTTCCTTATCAACTTATGTCAGATAACGAATGAACATCTCTAGTATTTGGTTTCACAATTTTTTGCCTGTACTTGATACACTTTTCTTCTGTAGGTTTCATTGCTCTACATGCAACTTTGGCAAGTCGAGATGTGGTAAGAATTTTAACCCCTCTCCCCAGAACATAACCTACTTATGATCTCAATGATTATGGAAAAAACTTAGGATGCTTGCACAGTTGCACATATCATGACATGTAATGAGATCCAAAAGGACTTATATTAAAAGCATTTCAAAATACTTTGTTTTAGAAATCATAACTTTGTATGCGCACCCTAATATAGTCCAGCAATTCAAATATATGAAATTTATAACAAGGACATCTATTATAAGGATTAGATAAAAAAATTACTTATGGAAATCGTACCTTTGTATGTGCATTCCAGAATAATTCAGTGATTCAAAATAGTGAATCTGAGGGAGTGTTCGTTTAGCCCATGTTCTATATGTCGGACAAGGGTGTGAACATTGTCCTAGAGACTATACAGTTATATCTGCAAAGGAATTTGCTTTAATTTGGACTAGCACCATTTTCAATGATATTGAACATCCGTTCTCCATAAAATGAAATATGCTGCGACTGTTAAGAACATGCTCATAGATTAAGTGTTATTGCTCGAATGAAATATTCAGCAAGTAGTAACTTACCTTCTATAAAAACTCTCAATACCCTTTTGGATGTAACAGGATTGCTGCTTGATTCCAGAATCTCCTTTCTATTTGGAAGGCCAGGGCGGGCTTTTTGAATTTGTCGAAGAGCGGCTTAAAGAAAATGGACATGTGGTTATTGTGTTAGCAGAAGGAGCAGGGCAGGAATATATTGCAGGGGAGATGAATGCTGTTGATGTGAAAGATGCATCAGGAAATAAGCTACTCCTCGATGTTGGTCTATGGTTAACCCAAAAGATTAAGGTGTAGTACAAACTGTCAATAGTATTTTGAGTAGTTTTGAGACACTTCTTTTTTACTTAATCTACATCGTGGGTAGTTTTTTCTGCTATAGACTTGTATCATCCAATAATACTGATTCAGTTATATGCTTATATATTTTATGACACAGGATCATTTTACAAAAGTCAAGAAGACGGCGATAAATATGAAATATATAGGTAAATTTTGAGCTAGTGAGAATATAATTTTGTTTCTGATCATATATAGAGTTTTGTCTCTACTAAATAGCCCTTAATAGTCAATCCATTAATTCTTGCCAAAACTCAGAAAGGGCCTTTCTTCCCCTTCTGTAACCTTTGTAGATAACATTTGAAAGAAATGAAATGTTTGGGATCCTAAGAAATGTTTGTGCACTCCTTTTTCCTTTTATTTCATTCTTATTACGATTTCCTTTTTTGTTTACATTAATTATAGTCCAAGTAGATTTGCTAAGAAGTCAAGATATCATTCGCAAACTATTATTGTAGAAACTAGAAAGTTTCTGGCCAATACATCTCAGTAAAATATATGTTTATCTTCTTATCTACAGATCCCACCTATATGATTCGAGCTATCCCAAGTAATGCATCAGACAATATATACTGTACTCTTCTTGCTCAGAGTGCTGTTCATGGAGCCATGGCAGGATTCAGTGGTTTCACAGTCGGGCCTGTAAACAGTAGACATGCTTATATTCCAATTGCTGTAAGTACTTTCCCTGCTCCATTTGTTCTTATTGGGTAGTTTTGGCTCGAGTTGTTGGTTTTTGAACTGCATTTTATTTAATTTTTGTGTGAAAATTCTAAGAGCGGATAGAATCTTTAGATACCTAGATGATGCAAGGTTGAATTTGCAGTAGCATGCATGAAAGTAACAACAAGACTTTGGCAAAAAAATTTCCCTTTATACAAATGGGAGAAGTTCATAAACGGCACTCTTAAGAAACTACAATTATTTTGACTGTGGCCAAGGCCAAACTATAAAATGTTCAACGGCATAACTTATATGTTAAACGAAATTAGAGTAGAGAGCATAGAATAAAACTCATGGACCACAGCTACTGCCCATGTTCAATGGAACTGAATTTGAGGCCTGAACTGAAACAACGTTATGAATCCAGAGGCTAATAGTTCATAATCTATATGCTAGTGTACTGTTGTGGGTCCAATATGTTGATTAAGTTGGAGGTATATGGTTATGATTCACTAAAAGATGGGAAGTATATAGTTATGAACGGGATATGTGGTATTGCAGCGTGTGACAGAGACGCAAAACACAGTAAAGTTGACAGATCGGATGTGGGCTAGACTTCTTGCATCAACGAACCAGCCTAGTTTCTTGGAATACAGTGAGGGGCAAGGAAAAGCTGAAGAGGATGTTGATGTGATAAACAACATGAGAGCTACTTTATAAATTTATGGAGCGGAGCTCGGTTCATTCAAGTGGACAGCACAACTCAACATTGTTTCTTGGAATTATGCGAACAGGTCTTACCATTATGAAGAGGTTTTACATCGTCTACGGGCCTTCTTGTTCATGCTTTTATTTTCAAGAAAAGGTAAACCAAATAGAAACAGAGGACATGGAGGACGAGAAAAGAGACGAGAGAAGTGAGGAAAAGAGGAGCTGGGAGAGTAGTTAGAATAAAAACTCAGTAAGTACAAAAATTCGAAAGAAATATCTTAGGACCCTTAGGCTTTTGAATATGCTGCAAATGTTTGTATAACAATATCGTCAATCCAGTTATTCTGTTAATAGATACTTCTGCTATCTTACGCATCATCACTTCACTTTGTAATATTTTCACTGCCCAAATTTCCTTGCAGCATGAAGTATGCTATCCAAGTTTTTCGCTTCGTGCGAGGACACGATATAGAATAATGGCGCTTAGAAGTGTTTAGTGTGGGATTCATTCTCAACATTCAGTTGACTCGCCAACACACACTTGCAGTCAGGTCGTTGACGGGTTATGGGATAAGGCTATGGTCGGCTCGGATAGGAATAGAGAGGGGGAGACTGGTTACAGGGATTCGACCAATACTAAATTTTAGCTTCTTCTAGGAAGGACTTTAGAGTAAAATGAAGGATTAGAATGAACAACCATACTAAATTTTTCTGTGGTCTTTGGAAGCTTCTCTATGGAAGGGGGGCTTTTGCTGTAAATTTGTCCTACTTCCCTTACCTCTAACTCTTTAAGCAGTAAAAATGCTCAGAATAAGCAAAGGAACTTAGCCTCCTTTCGGGTTATTCTAAGAACATTTCTTTCCTTTTTGCAGGCCCGAGCGTAGCTAACCTGGCTAGGGCTGTGCATCTTCATCCAAGTTTTTAAGTTCGAATCTCTCTCTCCGCAGTTTAGATTAGATTAGATTATCGCTCGAATAGAGAGAAAATATTTCTTTCTTTCGTGGTGTAGGGTTTATTGTTTAGCATCATTTTTTCACGCTAATCCGTTTCAAACCATCCCGATACGGTGACGGCAACAACAAAATCGACAAACAATATCTCTTGCCCTGCTTATCTTAAAGTTTCAACTTGCAGAGTTCCATCATGGACCCCAAACTTCCAAGTTGCAAAAATTGGCTGTCATTTATCTGCGAGTTGCATACTCGTGCAACTTTGGAGTCGTGTACGGAACGTGGTGACAATTCCAAGGATCACTAATTAGGTCGAATTAGTCAGATCACATTTATGTGCGGTCACATTGTAAACTCTAACTCCATTGTATATTGCGTCATTCAGGTCCACCCACGGTCCCATCCGTTGTGAGGTGTGCCCTATGGGCTGTGCCGCACCGAACACTTGTTCGTCGACGAAGTGTTCCCTACCTATAGATATCCCTAGATAGGAGATTGTCTCTGAAATATGCCTATTGACTTTTGTTATCATCTCTTGGTCTCATTTGTCAACATAGACATTTGCATTCTACCTGAACATTCTGATCAAGAAGGTGGTGAGGTATGAAAGTAGGAAAATTGGGGACATGCTTTGATGATATGATTCTATACCCGCTGAGCAAGTCCACCCCAACTGCACCTACCGTGGGTCTTATGTGAAGTCCACGTAAGGGTTTAAGAAAAGTTAACAATTCCAAATGAAATGTCAAAGCGATATCTGGAAGGAGAAAGTCAATCACAGGATCTCGGGTGGTTGAGTAAGCTTTTAATCAACTGAGTTACAAGATTTTAACTTTCTGAACCATTTCAAATATGTATGTAGGACATCGAGCAAAGAGATCAATGCGTGTATTGAGAGCTTCACGGATGTCGTGCTCTTAGAAGCTAGATCAACATCATGACATCGGCATTCTGAAAATGTTAGGGTTTCGACCAATGACCTCACACCTTGCCATTTTAAACAATTTTAATAACAAACGCAACAAATTAGGAGTGGATAATAAGAGTAATGTTATTCATACCATATTTTTGTACCACATTAGGTAACATCTGATGTGAACAACTACATCGTTTGCAAAAATTTGCAAAACCCAAGGAAATGAAGAAGAAAGACTTCTCATATACCACAATCAAATTAAAAAAATCTGATTAATTCAAATGATATGGATGTCCACATCAAATGCCACCTAAGGTGGTATGAAAATGTGATACAAAAATATAGTATGAATAATATTACTCGTATAATAATTACACATTGCATCGCACATGATCATTTAATCTACTGACATTTAGTCTTTATTTTATTGAACGAAGTGATGAATATTGTTGTTGATCATGAAAGATGAAACACATCTTTACAAAATAGAACCATTTTGATTACGCATGTAACAAGCAAGGATTGTATAATAATTACACAGTTAGGCTCTGTTTTCACTTTCATTTTTCATCTTACGAACAATCTTTTATTATTCCAAATTTTTACATACATTTGATCCTTCCACTATTTCATTCTATACTAATACATAAATCTAACGGAAGATTTGGCGCAAAATTAAGCGCAGTGACGTTCTAATATTTATACAACCAATACAACTTAATGGATAATTAAGGCTTGGTTGTTGTTGTAGTAATACATAAACCATGTATATGGTAAATCAGTAAATCCACCATCCAATCATATTCTAACACATCAGCAGAGGAGGATCCTGAGATTAACACTGAGCTCCTTCATGCACCTTGTCCTTCCCAAAGCACCCAACTTTGAAGCTCCAATTCTTCAGTCTTTGTCACCTCCTCCTGCTTTACCGATCTCCTCCTCTTCCGCGCCATGTTCAGTGGCGGTTCGGACAGTCCGGCCTCCAACGGAAAATTCAGTATTGCTTTCCTACCCCTCAGCTTAAATGCAGCACAATCATAGGCCTTGGCAGCGTCAACATCAGTTTCAAATGTCCCTAGCCAAACCCGGGTTCCTTTCCGGGCCGGATCACGTATCTCCGCCGCGTACTTGCCCCAGGGCCTCCGCCGGACTCCCCTGTAATGCCTTAACACATCACCAGAGCCAGAAACTTGTTGTAATTCATCTTTTGAACTGGAAGTTTGACAAGTACTATTTTTTCTCTTTGGTGAGCATTGTGAGCTCAAATTCAGGGACTCCACTTCCATGGATGGTAAGTTTACGCTTTCGGGTTTCGTTTCGGAATTTGAGAGTTGGGGGCTGTGGTAATTTGGGGTTGACATGGGGGAGCTGGACCCTGATTCTGAGAGGGATGAGTACTCGGGTTTGATTGGTTGGAACTCGAAATATGAGATATCATCAGGGGTGATCTCGAAATTGAGATGAGAAATGAAGGAATCTGTGAAGGTGAAGTCTTCTAAGAGGTGTTGGCGGATGAGCTCAAGAGTTGAATAATCTTGTTCTTCATGTGTAGACATTTTGAAGTGAGAGCACAAGGGGAAGCTAATTGCCATGCATAGGAAGGATATGGATACTATTTTTATTTTTTAATTTAAGAAATAATATTTGATGACTTGTGGTTGTGAAGAAGAAATTGAGGAAATTTATAAAGGAAAAATCATTTCTTTTTCTTTTTCTTTCTTTTATTTTCTTAGGTGGAATCACTACACAGTCACCCACATTTCACCATAAAAGGGGGCAGCTCTATTAATCCAACGGTCTTATCCATTCTTCTCAATGATTACGGCAATGATGATGCAATCCTTTTCAATTACAACGAACTTGGACTAATTAGTTAACGCAGAGTGCTGGTCCTTGCACTCTGGTTCAAATCCCCACTTCTTTATATTTAAATGATGAGATTTATTGATAAATGGAAGAGTTACACTCATAATAAAGAAAGGTTTAGCAAACGAGTCGTATTTGTCGTGTTTGTGTCATACCTGTTATATTAATAGGTTGTAACTTGTTATCTTAACGGAATGACCCAATAACGACATAATTCATTAACGGGTCGTGTTGTGTTGGACTAACGGGTCATGCAAGAAATTGACATGCATGTCTAGATCTGGCAAATAATATCTCATCGATTATCGGATTCTTAATTGGTGACCCGATAACGATCCAACAAGTTAACGCGCTCCTTGATAACGATCCAACTAAACATGTTTTTTTTCATGTCTTTTTATGTCGAGTTAATGGATCATGTAAGAAATAATCAGGCCAAAACAGCCTAACAGCTACATTTGATTACAATCATTCAATAAAATATCCACTAGACAATTTGGAGGATCTTCGAATCACAAGCAAGAGCTGGAGGAGAAGAGACTAATGTGAGCTAAGAGATGGGCAGCTTCGTTAGCATGGCGTCTGACGTCAACGAAATGTAAGGTACAAATGTTACTGTCGATAAATTATAATAGTTTAAGACATCAATGTTTGCATATGTGTACCGCTAGCATCACTGCACCAGAGTTCCGATCTTCTTCAAAGATTAAAGTAATTTAAGATATCAAATTGTCAAAAAATAAATTAAATGAGAGCAGCCCACAGTTTTGTTTCCAGCCGAGGGTTATCCAACTTGCTACTTGCTTGCAATTAGGTTGAAGAAGTTTTGCAACTTGTGATAACAGGGGTCCCTCCCATGCAACTAACACATAATGTCGATCTCTCACTGTCGCTCTTGTCCAGATACAAGCTATATGCATGAATAAAGCTGTATCGAAAAGAAACTTAACTAATTTATTAAAGAGGATCCTCCCCCACACGCATCTCATCAACTTGTGAGCAGACCCCTCTAAAAAAAACTATTTATTTTGTACTGCGAGAATAAGCAGCAGAGTAATTGGTAATTTTTTTTTTTGTAAAAGTGTTTTTGGAAAGAAATAAAAAAAAGCAGTATTGGTTTGGTATTGCTGTGCTTTAAAAAAAATTGTTGTATTGTGAGAATAAGTTCATTTTTGCTGTTTCACGTTTTTAGTTTTTTGCAACCCAAAACTGTAAAAATAAATTGTTTTTAAGTATTTACCAAACATTTTTTTGAACTCAGCTTTTTATTATACCCATTTTTTATAAAAGTATCTCAGTACCAAAGTAATACTAAGTCTCCTGTTATCAAATTGAAAGAGACAGAAGAGATGACACCTCTCTCTCTCTCTCTCTCTCTCTATAACATGGTACATAGTACTTACATGTCATTAAATGAATAAACCAAAGATTAATTAACAGCTTCATAACTTTGTTAGTTAAATATTTTAGCGCATGCATGCATCAGCTGGTTTTGATGTTGACAAATGTTGGTTAGATCGAAGGCCTTTTATATTACGCAAATGACTTGTACTTTAAGTGGTTAAACTTTCATTACTGCATTTAAGGTCGTGTGTTCGATTTTTCATTTTCGTATAAAAATAAATAAGTATCGTTGAATCACTAAAGTTGATAATTGATGCCTCATGCATGCATGCTTTGAAACCTACTTTACATTACATCCATTTGTATTAAAGTCAATTACATTAACATTTCGCATTCAGATTTGCATGCCTTTCAACTTGTGGAGGATATACATGAACCCTTATGTATGGACACCTAAGGAAAAGTAAACCCTAGCTTAACTGTAAGCCGTTCATCATGGTCCATACTTGTAACATCAAGCTCCGATCTCTTTTCTACGCTCATTAAACATATCAATTCTATTTAATACACATTTCACTTGAGTCTACAGACATAGAAGACATTTATGTCTGTGTTATGTACACGAAAAGGAGAAATTTTTAGTTGTGACGGGAACACGGATGGTACATCACATGTTTTTATACAAGTGGTGGAAATTTTTAATTTTTAAGTTATTAATCTTTTAACACACATAACCCACTATTTATATAGGAACACATGATGTATCACCTTATGCGACGATCACATTAAAAAATCTTTCCACGAAAAGAATCCAGTACATATCTTTTTCCTTCAAACGCACAACGTCATCACACTCTTCCAATAGTGTGTACAAGACCTACGTATGTGTAAGTATCCCTCGCCTTGCCTCGAATAAAGACAGAAATGATTTGGCATACACGTTAGGTTAGCAATTGTGATCAATGAGCCTCGAACAAAGTTAACTTGGTCAAAAGTTTATAATAATCAATGTATGTAAAACGTTTTTGATTGTTCAACACCTTTGTAAATCATGTTTTGCGATTAACCTGTAGCTGTCATCCACGTCCGTATCAGTTTCTAATTAAAAAGTTAAACATCAGATGTGGAGCCTCCCGTATGGAAATATATACCATTATCCCAACCAATATAATATTATGAACTCAAGAACATTAGTGTAATGAACAGTCTCCAATGACTTTAAAACCCTAAAATATGAATATATATTATAGTGAAATGTGACTTTACCTTTTCAAATTCAACATTTTCATATAAGACGAATCATAAATATAGACCCATACAACTCATATATTTCGGGTTAAAACCTATCTATGAATAAACGTTCAATAAAAACTCAAAAATTAAATAAATTGCCACATAAGAAAATAAGTAACCTATTAATATAAGTTATTTACAATTTATGCCACAACTTTCTATAACTGTTCTCATACAACCATTATTAGTCAACCGTTATGACTAACGTTTTTAACAATTTTTTTTTACCAGTCTAATAATGAATTAAATAATGCATTACCATATATCTTAACTATGTAACTTCAGATAAATTATTTTGCAAACACATAAACACCAATCATATATATATATATATATATATATATATATATAGTAATAAAACATAAAATAGAAGATACATTTTTTGAAAAGTTAAATTGTAGGTAAATTATATTCATAAAAAAACCAAAATTGTAGATACACTATTGTTGTAAAAAAAAAAGGTAAATTTTTTATTTAAAATTGTAGATACATTATTGTGGCAGTAGGTAAATTAGTTTCATATAAAATTTAAAAGTGGGCAAATTATATGCATACAAGAATAAAATTGTGGACACATTATTGTTAAATAAGAACAGGTAAATTTTTATCTTGAAATTTGAACAATAGATAAATTATTTTTGTACATACATTAATTTTTAAAAAATTAAAACAATAGGTACATCATTAGCTTCACAAATTATACACAATAGGTAAATTATTTTTGCTAAAACTAAACGATAAGTAAAGTATTTTTGAAGATACGTTAGTGTTGTAAAAATTAAATAATAGGCACATTATTACTCCACATATTTGATATGATAGATAAATCATGGTATAAATTTATAGTTGGCAAAAAAAAATTATAGGTACATTATTTTATTGATAAATATTTTATAAGATAGATTATTTCAATAAAAATATATATTTAAATTGAAAAAAAGTTGTTATTGTGACATCCCACATTGCCTATGGGAGTGATCCTTATATGTATATTCTCATCTCTACCTAGCACGAGGCTTTTTGGGAACTCACACGAGAACTTCCCAATGGGTCACCCATCATAGGATTGCTCTTGCGTGCTACTCGCTTAACTTCGGAGTTCTTACGGAACCCGAAGCCAATGAGCTCCCAAAAGGCCTCGTGCTAGGTAGAGATGAGAATATATATATAAGGATCACTCCCCTAGGCGATGTGAGATGTCACAATCCACCCCCCTTAGGGGCCCGACATCCTCGTTGGCACACCACGGTCAGGGTTAGGCTTTGATACAAAATTGTCACATCCCATCCCGGGGGGGGACCACTTCCCAGGCCCGCTCCACCATCGTAGCACGATATTGTTCGCTTTGGACCCCGACCACGCCCTTACGGTTTTGTTTCTACGAACTCACACGAGAACTTCCCAATGGGTCACCCATCCTGGGATTGCTCTCGTGCACTACTCGCTTAACTTTGGAGTTTCCATGGAACCTGAAGCCAGTGAGCTCTCAAAAGGCCTTGTGCTAGGTAGGGATGAGAATATACATATAAAGATCACTCTCCTAAGTGATTTGGGATGTTACAATCCACCCCCCTTAGGGCCCCGACGTCTTCGTCTGCACACCATGGCCAGGGTTAGGCTCTCATACTAAATTATCACATCCCCGCCTGGGGTCCACCACATCCTGGGCCCACTCCACCACCGTAGCACGATATTGTCCGTTTTTGGCCACAACCACGCCCTCATAGTTTTGTTTATGGGAACTTACACGAGAACTTCCCAATGGGTTACCCATCATGGGATTGCTCTCGTGCGCCACTCGCTTAACTTCGGAGTTCCCATGGAACTCGAAGCCAGTGAGCTCCTAAAAGGCCTCGTGCTAGGTAGGGATGGAAACATACACATAAGGATCACTCTTCAAGTGGACAATATCGTGCTACGGTGGAGTCGACCTCGGGAAGTGGTTCCGCCCGGGCCAGGATGAGACAATTTGGTATCAAAGCCTAACCCTGGCCGTGGTGTGCCGACGAGGACATCGGGCCCCTAAGGGGGGTGGATTGTGACATCCCACATTGCCTAAGGGAGTGATCCTTATATGTATATTCTCATCCCTTCCTAGCACGAGGTCTTTCGGGAGCTCACTAGCTTCGGGCTCCGTAGGAACTCCGAAGTTAAGCGAGTAGCGCGTGAGAGCAATCTCATGA